AAAAAAAAAAAAAACATACAAAGTGGGATGATAGAGCTAGGAGTTGCCTTTCATTTATCATTCTTACTTGAAATTGGTATGTAGTAACATACTAAATTGGCTTGTGTATTTTAGCATGTCAGTTTAGTCTTTTTTTTCTCCTAAAACTAAGATTTTCCATAAAAATCTTTCCTTTAAAATTTTTTTTAGGGGCGCCTGGGTGGCGCAGTCGGTTAAGCGTCCGACTTCAGCCAGGTCACGATCTCGCGGTCCGTGAGTTCGAGCCCCGCGTCGGGCTCTGGGCTGATGGCTCAGAGCCTGGAGCCTGCTTCCGATTCTGTGTCTCCCTCTCTCTCTGCCCCTCCCCCGTTCATGCTCTGTCTCTCTCTGTCCCAAAAATAAATAAACGTTGAAAAAAAAAAAAAATTTAAAAATTTTTTTTAAATATTTATTTATCTTGAGAGAGAGAGCATGAGCGAGCGAGCAAGCAAGCAGAGAAGGGGGAGAGAGGGAGAGAGAAAATCCCAAGCAGGCTCCGTGCTGTCAGCGCAGAGCCTGACTCAGGGCTTGATGTTATGAACTGTGAGATCATGACCTGGCTGTCAGCGCAGAGCCTGACTCAGGGCTTGATGTTACGAACTGTGAGATCATGACCTGAGCTGAGATCAAGAGTTGGATGTTTAACTGACTGAGCCACCCAGGTACCCCCCCTGTAGCACAACTTTTGATATTATGTATTAAAATTGATTTTTCTTTTACCCTGTCTTCAGCCTTTACCAGCACAGGCTTTGACCGTCATACTTCTCCCGTGTTCAGCCCTGCTAACCCAGAAAGCTCAGTGGAAGACTGCTTGGCTCATCTTGGAGAAAAAGTATCGCAGGAACTGAAAGAGCCTCTACAAAAGGCATTGCAGATGCTCCTCAGCCAGTGAGTTACCCTTGCTGAGGGGAAAGGTGGTTCTCTAAGTAGTCTCTGGATCTCTCAGGCAGCACTGGATTGGTTAAGGCTTTGTTTTAGATGAACAGTGTCCCTTCTTCTACTTTTCTTCACTTTTTCTTTCTTTTGCTTTCCTAAAGCATCTCTGTGTTTTGAGTGACAACTTTTACATCAAAGTGGTAATTTAACTGTTCCAGCATGGAACAGTTGATTGATCATTTGTGTTTCCTTGTTGACCTGTCAGGTTTCAACAAATGCTTTAACTGCTTTGTAAATATAAATATAAGCTATTTCACTTGTCCTGACCACTTTTTACTACCATTCTGTCTAGAGGCCAACATAAATGTAAGGGTTAGGGCTTTATGCATTGTAATATGGGGTTAGCATCATATCAGTATTTTAGGTATCCCAAATGTGGCTAAACTTTGGGCTTGTCCATGGAACTACTGCCACGTTTTTATAGTGGGAACTTCTCTACTATGGTTTTGATCATTAAAGCTAAAGGCAAGAAGCTCCTAGTGAAAGTATATTAAAATAGAACCAAGTCATTTATTGTAAATCTCAAAATTTCTTTTCCTCTAATTTTTGCTGAGAATCATTAAGGAATTGGTATGAATTAGAAAAAATTTGTTTTAGTGAAGAATGATATCTAAAACAGGATGAAGACTGGTTTCTTCACTAAAAGGGTCAAAATTCAGATGCTAAATTACTGTTATAAGGTAATTCCTTATTTTCACGTAGGCAAACTTTGTGTGTTACTGTTTATTAGAAGGAAGCACTTTGCATTTAAGGAAAATTCAGTTTGTTTCTGCATATTCTGGTGACGTGAGCAAATGTAAAAATCCAAATTACGTGTAGGACACTGAAATGAAAATCATGTTTGGATTTTCTTAATTTTATATAAATGTGAAGAGAAGATTATGGGTGTCAGAAAATAGATAGGAAATTTGGATGGACAGCAGTAGCTTTTAGAGTGTTCTGTGGAGCCTTTAGGGGCCCTGAGAAGGTAAGGGATGGGGTGAGTGGGTGGAACTTGTTAGGCCTTCTCCTGCTTCTTAAACCAGAATAGCTATCTTTTCATGTATTTTATATATCAAGGGTTAATGTAAGATTTGAAGAAACCTACTGTTTTGCCAAAAACAAAACAATTTTTAGAAGCTATTGGGATGTGGAGTAAAATAACTGAGTAGTAGAAGGGGAAAACATTGTATTTCTAGCTTGGATATAAACTATTAGTGGCTTTAAGAAAACCATTTCTTTCTACGTCTAAATTTCCCCACCTATTAATTTCAACTTTACTGGGATATTATAAACACTCTGAAGAACAGTGTTATATAGGTAAAGTATTTTTTTTTTGGCATCCTTTTCATAATCTAGAGGAAATACTGATATCTTCTCACTGCAAAGTAGATTATATTTTAAAATACACATTTAGGTGAATACTTGGTGATTTTTTTTCGCCCAAACCCTGAATACTGAAATAATTATTTATTTGTTTGTTTTACGATTTTATTTTTAAGTAATCTCTACACCCAATGTGGGGCTCTAACTCACAACCCTGAGATAAAGAGTTACACGTTCCACTGATTGAGCCAGCCAGGCGCCCTTGACATAATTATTTTTTAAATCGGTACCTCTGGTACCAATCAGAGTCTGGCTTCTTTATGAATAAATTTTTTTCAGTAATTTACTCTTGAAAGTTGTTAAGCTCTGTTACTAATACCTTAAAAATAGCTAATTGATGATGGACTAGAAGTATTAAACAGGTTGGTGAGAATAATATTTAAGGTGGAAAATACCACCTACTCCAAACAGTTTTGTTCAAGTAGGAAGTTAATCCAGAACGCTTCGTAGAGTCAAGCACCAGCATTTTGAAAAGGTTTCCTCCTGCCCCTTTTTCTTCTTTGCTCTGTTCAAATAGCTCATCAGATAGGGCTGATTTTTCAGCTACTTGCTTTTCTATGTATTAAATTTTCTCTGAATATTTTAATCTGCTGGATCTTTTATGTGCATATATGTGTGTACATATAATGATTCAAATCATGTTTCATTCTGAAGGATGCTAAAGTACTCTAGCCTGATAGACAAACTACCAATAAGGACTACTGTGACCCACAGCAGCCTCAAACAGCTCAGGAAAGGAAGTGAAGGGACTGATATACACAAGTAAAGCTTCAGGGAGAATATAGGTAGGTAGACTATCAAGTTCAAGTTTTATAACTATCAAGTTCAAGTTCAAGTTTTATAACTACCTGGTATTTAGTGTAGGGCTTCTAAAAAATTCTAAGCTTACTTTAATGGTAATGTAATATCAGGAAGGTAGTACATAACATCTTATTAAAGAGGTCACCCATGCATCTTACCTCCTTGCAGCATCACTGTAGTATTAATTTGATATTGACTTGTATAAAAGAATGATACCTGTGTCATCAGAACTATTTTCTGAAGTATGTAGACCAGCACTGTACAATAGATACAATGCAAATCACATATATGTAATTTAAAGTTTTCTAGCAACCATATTAAAAATTGAGATTTTTAATATATTTTATTTAACCCAATATATTCAAAATATTAGTTTTAACATGTACTCAATATAAAAATATTAATGAGCTATTTTACATTCTTTTTTCCTTACTAAGTCTTAGAAATCTAGTGTGCATATTGCATTTTCAATACATCAGTAGCCACATTTCAAATTAAAAAAATTTTTTTTTTACATTTATTTATTTTTGAGAGACAGAGAGAGACAGAGCACAAGTGGGGGAGGGGCAGAGAGAGAGAGAGGGAGACACAGAACCCAAAGCAGCCTCCAGGCTCTGAGCTGTAGCACAGAGCCCTATGTGGGACTCGAAACCACAAACCGTGAGATCATGACCTGAGCTGAAGTCAGACACTTAACCAACTGAGCCACCCAGGTGCCCCAGTCACTAGCCACATTTCAAATGGTTATTAGCTGTATGTAGTGTGTAGAAATTATTGTGTCATGTGTCACAATCCTAATTAGAATACGAATAGTGTGGCCTTTGGACCCAGAGCTAGCTGGGTGTGAATTCCTACATTGCTGCTTGCCAGCTGTGTGGATTGGGGATAGTCTCTTCGCTTTTCTGAGCTTCAATTTCCTAATGTGTAAAATGATAATAGGTAATATAAAATATAAACATATAAAAATATAAAACTGAACAGTAGGCTACCAATAAGTGGTAGCTATCATCAATATTAAATATTCTTAGGCTGAAGAGATCACAGACCAGATTCAGAGTAGAAATGCCTTTGGAATGGATTTCAAAATCCTATAAAAAGCAAGATTCCTCTCCTTTTTTTACATATATGTTAATACTTTGCCCACAAAAGTTGGGGAGGTAAATTTTATTAAATCTAATATTCAAGCTATTGATGCTTTCATATGCTACTTGGTAACAAGTATTTTTGTTGTTGTTAATTTGTACATGAAACCAACCATGTCTTACACATAGTGCCTAAAACCCTCAATAAATTAGTGAGTGTTGTCATCCTTCAGTGATTTGAGATTTTGGTATGACTAGAAGTTACATGGAAATAATCAGAAAGGCTTATCTCTGCCCTCCAGGTTTTTATGTCATAAGACTCCAAGTTAAAAATAGAGCTCCATTTACTGCCCTAGTTTATTCCAACTCCTTATATCCTCAATTGGAGAAGTCTTTCAGTGACATGTGTCTTTAATTTTTAAGTGTTTTAAATTTTTTGCCTTTTAAAAAAGTTAAATTTGTGCTTTTAATTTTATTAATGAGATCATTTTGTTACTATTTGATCTTATTTTAATAACCCAAGTGTTTGTTTATCTGCAACATGGAAATCCTGTTGGATAAGTTTCAATTATTTTAAAAGTGTGATTGTTTATCTTGCTGTGTTGTTAACTGCTTTCCCAAGCTGGTAGCGTACCTCTCAGCCTATAGGGAGTGATTGAAGAGAAATGCATACCAAATGTTAAAAGCCACATCTCATACAAAACAATTTGTGGAATATATTCTTGGGTACTTTAGCAAAAAGTTCAACAGCAGAATAGTGATTGTATATTTATTCATCTGGAAATTTAGAATTTTCCTTCTTTGTGACCCAGACTTTTAAAAAAAAATCTCTACAGGCCAGTGACATATCAGGCATATCGGGAATGTACACTGGAGACCACAGTTCATGCCAGCGGCTGGAATAAGGTATTAACCAAATTATCTTTTCTCTTACAAAATTTTAGTGTGTTGATAAAGTGCAGGAGAAATTGCTAACGTCATAGAAGTGAAAACTGTTAGAGCTCATTATTTAATGCATAAATCCGATTGTGTAAGTGGATGTTTTTGATTAAAGTGGTTTTTTGGTTAATGCTACAAGTTTTTGGTTGGCCCGAAAATATGTGTCCCATAGTGTGCTGCTCTTCCTATCTGTTCTCAATTTTCCATCATTTCTTCATTTTTCTATATTGGATATGACATTTATCTCCAGGTGGTTATTTGTTACCCTGTGTGTATGTCTTGCAGTAGAAAAGAATAAGAGCTTCACATGGGAGACCACTTCTTCTGGTTTTCTCTTTCTCTCTTTCTGTCTCTCTCTTTTGTTTTTTTGTTTTTTTATTCCTCTGGTTCTCTTAAATGAGTAATACCATTTATGTTTACAAGGTATCTCATGTCACATCTCATTGGATCGTTACAACCATCTTCTGCAGAGAGCAGAATGGACTTTATTACCTTTTGTTTTGTTATTTTTTTATTTAGTTAGATCAGGTGAGTAATCAGAGAAAAAAGTTAAATGAATTGTCCAGGACCCCTTGGTTAGGAAATATTGGAACCAGCACTAGAGCTGAGATCTCAGATCTTCTGATCCCAGCTTTAGTGTTTTTTCCACTGTACCATACTGCTTATCCATAATCTCAGAGTGTATTATCTATTTATCACCTTGAAAAGGCAGAAAGTCTCAGGTGATGCAATATAGGAAGGCTCAGCTCAGGAAGAAGTGTGGCCCTTAGTAATATCGTGCTAGGAATAAGAAAATTCAGTAGAATTACTTTTATAAATAGGCACGTCTACTCTGAATTTAAGTTTTTATTTCAGACAACAATTCCATATATCCATATAATCTCCATCACCTATTTAAAAAAAAATTTTTTTAATGTTTATTTTTGAGAGAGAGAGAGAGAGAGAGAGAAAGAGACAGAGCATGAGTGGGGGAGGGGCAGAGAGAGAGGGAGACACAGAACTCAAAGCAGGCTCCAGACTCCATGCACAGAGCCCAACGTGGGGCTCGAACTCATGAACCACGAGATCATGACCTGAGCTGAAGTTGGACACTTAACCAGCTGAGCCACCCAGGTGCCCCTCCCCATCACCTATTTAACCCATCCCCCCACCCCTGCCCCTCTACTCAGAATTGTTAATAGTATGAGTCCAATCATGTGACCTTACTACCTAATTGATGAGTATTATTTTTATTCACCTTATAATACAGGCTTTAGAAACATTATAGTGTAATAATTATCATCATAGTCTTTGTAACTGGACTTGTTTCAAATATCAGCTTTGCCACAGACTAGATGCATATCTTTGGACAGTCCATTAAGCTCTCTAAATCTTAATTTTCTTGTTTTTTTTTAATTGTTATTAAGTAATCTCTATACCCAACATGGGGCTGAAACTTACAACCCTGAGATCAAGAGTTGCTTGCTCTTCCAACTGAGCCAGCCAGGTACCCCTCTAAATCTGAACTTTCATATACATAAAATGGACCTAATAACAACTTATAAATTTTACTAGATTTAAATGACATAATATAGTTAAATGCTTATTTAGCACATTGCCTGACACCATAGTAAGCACTCAGTAAACAGTGACTATTAACATTACATTTAACACCTAAGAACTTGTTCTCAAATAGGCACTATTATGGATGGGGTTCTACTATGTTATTTAACTACAAATAACTTATTTAAGAAGTTTGTTTTGGGGCGCCTGGGTGGCGCAGTCGGTTAAGCGTCCGACTTCAGCCAGGTCACGATCTCGCGCTCCGTGAGTTCGAGCCCCGCGTCAGGCTCTGGGCTGATGGCTCAGAGCCTGGAGCCTGTTTCCGATTCTGTGTCTCCCTCTCTCTCTGCCCCTCCCCCGTTCATGCTCTGTCTCTCTCTGTCCCAAAAATAAAAATAAAAAACGTTGAAAAAGAAGTTTGTTTTATTTCCTTTCTTGGAATAAAAAACACTCTTATTTGGATGTTTGAAATAGATTTGTTTGTTATATAAATAAAAATGAGCTTAGTTATGATATATTTCTTAGTATATCAAATAACACATATTTAGTTACCTAATATTACTAGCCTTCTTCCCCTATTTTATGTTATCTTTCTGTCACTCTTGACTAGTGACTGTTAATCAATTCTTGTATGTTCTTCTCCCCTTGATCCTGTGGTTATCCTAAAAAAAAATCTGAGTAAACCCCAGACTTCATTATTTTGTCTTCACCCATCTGATTTTTCCATTCTCTGCTTCATTTTAGTCTCTTATCTGGACCAAAGGCCATGGCTGTGGCTTGAATACCTCATGTAAATGAGGCATGCCAGTTAGAGTATTACTTGCTCTGCTGAATCCATTATTACTCTCCTATTAAGTCCTCTAGGGCTGAAAAGAATATGGCTGTCTGGTAGGTAAAGAAAGCTCAAATGAAACATCCATCAGAGAGAAGAGAGTAAAATGTCCACAGAGCATGCCACATTAGGGATAAACTGAATATCAGTTTATCTGTACACAGATTCTAAAAGCATCTTGGTAGAATACTCTTTATATCAAAAGAAGAGGAAAAATGTTGGTCACAAACCTGTATTAATAGCTTATTTTTTTTCATGTTTAACAGTCTTTAATTCAAATGTGAAAATTCAATACAAGCCATTTATAGGACTTGAGACTTGTTCTTTTATTTTATTTTTTTTTTAAATTTTTTTTTTCCAAACGTTTATTTATTTTTGGGACAGAGAGAGACAGAGCATGAACGGGGGAGGGGCAGAGAGAGAGGGAGACACAGAATCGGAAACAGGCTCCAGGCTCTGAGCCATCAGCCCAGAGCCTGACGCGGGGCTCGAACTCACGGAGCGCGAGATCGTGACCTGGCTGAAGTCGGACGCTTAACCAACTGCGCCACCCAGGCGCCCCGAGACTTGTTCTTTTAAAAACAAGAATGGAGGAATGTAACAAAATGATCTTTCCACTTTTTCTTCAGAAACTTTCAAAGAAAGGATAGATCATAGGGCAATAAAGATTCATTTAGTCATACCCACTTTTTCCCCCTACCAAGTCTTTCACCCATTCCAAAATTTTAATACACATTCCTGAAGGAAGATTTACTGTTAAGCTTGCTTACTTAATCATTTAAAAATACTTAGCACCAGCTTGCTTCCTATAATGGCAAACAAATCAAATCGTGAAACGACTTCAATATGCATTTCTTCTTTTTAAACCAAGGGGGTACTTATTTGTAGAAAGCAATGCTTAGCCTACAGATACATTTCCCAGAAATGGCATATGGCATTCAAAGGCCTAGATACGCTCATGCTTTCAAACGGAATACCTAGCCTAATGTGCATCAAGCATGAATGGCAAAGTTGAAGATCAATATTATAACTATTTTTTCTATTTATTTGAAGCATAGTAAAGGAAAAATTGGTACTCTTTGGAAATTCAGTGGTGTAATAGTATGATTCTTTAGGAAAAGAAAGTACATATATAAATGTAGGTATGTATGGGGCGCCTAGGTGGCTCAGTCATTTAAGCATCCGACCTTTGGTTTTGGCTCAGGCCATGATCTCACAGTTGGGTTCCTCAGCGCTGACAGTGCCAGGCCTGCTTGGGATTCTCGGTCTCTTCTCTCTGCCCCTCTCCGCCCGTCTCCGACTTGCGCTGTCTCTGTCTCTCTCAAAATAAATAAATAAACTTAAAAAAAATGTAGATATGTGTATGCCTAGAAAAATAATTGAAATATGTGCCAAAATATTAAATAATATGTAGTAATTATCTCCAAATTATACGTTCTTTTATTTCTCTCCACCACCCCTACACGGCTATTGTTTTTTCCCTATGTACTTATCTGCTTCTGAGGAAAAAAGAACACAACCATCAAAGAGAAAAAGCCTTGAAATGCTTAGCTTTGCCTTTTCTTGGGGGTACAGACTCTGCCAGAAATACAGTTATGCTCAAGTGCGTGTGCCATTGGACTGCTAACTATAATTATGTTATTGTAAAATTCCATAACTGGTTATGGCACATTCATAATCACTGTATTTTTCGACCTTGAGTGTAAATGGCATCCAGAGATACACCACACTTTATATCTTATCTTACTGCCTTCTATTTTTCTCACTCTCCTTATATCCTTTTTGTTAAACTAAACATTGTAGGGGCACCTAGCTGGCTCAGTTGGTAGAGCGTGCGACTCTTGACCTCAGGGGTATGGGTTTGGGCCCCACATTGGGTGTAGAGATTACTTAAAAACAAAATATTTAGGGGCACTTGGGTGACTCAGTCAGTTACGCATCCAACTTCAGCTCAGGTCATGATCTCACAGTTCGTGAGTTTGAGCCCCACATTGGGCTCTGTGCTGACAGCTCAGAGCTTGGAGCCTGCTTCAGATTCTGTGTCTCCTTCTCTCTCTGCCCATCCCCTGCTCACACACGCGTTCTCTCAAAAAAATTAAATAAATAAACCTTACAAAAAATCTTTAAAAAATAATAATAATAAAATAGAATAAACATTGTAACTGTAAAAAGAGAACCAGCTATAGTGTTAGTATGTACTGTTCATAGTATAATAAACTAGAAAAATAATAGCAAAAATAAAAATAAATATATTTGCCTTGGTTAATTTTTAGTGGCATATTTAATCACTAATATTTTAAAATCTTTATTATTAAAATTTCAAGCATACGCAAAATCACTCAGCTTCAATAAGTATCAACATATGGCTGGTCTTGTTTCATCTATTTCCCCCATACTCTTCTCACTCTCCCCGCAGATTACTTTGAAGTAGACCCTAGAAATCATTTTTTAAAAATATTTTTTAAAAGTTTTTATTTATTTATTTTGAGAGAGAAGGAGAGAGCATATGGGTGCATGAGCAGGGGTGGGGAAAAGAGAGAGGGAGAAAGAGAATCTCAAACAGGCTCTGTGCTGTCAGTGCAGAGCCTGGCACGGGGCTTGATCTCACATGAGATCATGACCTGAGCCTAAATCAAGAGTCAGATGCTTGGGGCGCCTGGGTGGCGCAGTCGGTTAAGCGTCCGACTTCAGCCAGGTCGCGATCTCGCGATACGTGAGTTCGAGCCCCGCGTCTGGCTCTGGGCTGATGGCTCAGAGCCTGGAGCCTGTTTCCGATTCTGTGTCTCCCTCTCTCTCTGCTCCTCCCCCGTTCATGCTCTGTCTCTGTCCCAAAAATAAATAAAACGTTGAAAAAAAAATTTTTTTTTAAATTTAAAAAAAGAGTCAGATGCTTAACTGACTGAGCCTCCTAGACGCCTCTCCTAAATATCATTTTTTTCAAAAATATGTTAATATGTATTTTAAGGATGATATATCCCTTTTTTTAACCAACTGATAATACCACTATTTTACCTCAAAATATGAACAGTAATTCTGTCATCACATAATCTATTCAGTATTCAAAATTTTCCACTTGTCTCTTAAAGGTATTTTTCTAAGATGATTTGTTTGAATTGGGATCCAAACAAGGCCCATGCATTGCATGTGGTTGATAATTCTCTTGTCTTTACTTTTAAAAAAAAATTCGGATATAATTCATACCATAAAATTTACCATTTTAAAGTATATAGTTCAGTGGTATTTTTTTAGTACATTCACAGAGCTGTACAGTCATTTCTACCATCTGATTCTGGAACGTTTTTATCTTTCCATAAAGAAACCCAGTACTTAGTAGTAGTCACTCTCCATTTCCTGTTCCTCTCAGCCCCTGGCAACATTACTGTCTTTTTAAATTTGCCTATTCTGGATATTTCATGTAAATGTGATCATGTAACATGTGACTTAAGTGTCTTTTAATATGTAGGCTTATCCTCCCTCTTGTGTTTTTCTTTACTTACAAGTTATTTCTCTTAAATTTCCTACTTTCTGGATTTTATTGACATCATTGAGATGTCACTTAACGTTCTTCTGTATCTATATTTCCTTTCCCTTGGTAGGTAGATCTAGAAGCCTAATCATATTTAGGTTTAATGTTTTTGGCAAGAATACTTCATTGGTCGTGTTCCCTATTTCCTGTTGCATTACACTGTGTGATACATAATGCCTGGTAGTCTCAAATTTTATTTTGAGGTAGATAGGACAAACATTCAAACCTAATCAATTGATTAGATACAGATAAAATTTGTGGGATATGACATTTATTAGAATTGTTAAGTTATAGCATGGTTACTGAATAGTAGATTGATGGATCAAAATATGTATTTTATAATCACAAATATCTATTCTCCTGGAAGAGACCCTTGACGCTGTAAACTAGTATATTTTATTTCTGCACCAGGCAAGCTCATATATTCTTTAATAAAAAGATAATGTTGTTAGCAAAGTCTAACCTATTGGAGGAAGGTGCCATGTAGTACATATGAGGAGACAGTAAATGGAGGTATTCCTTTTTGTTGGTCAAAATTGCTTTAGCATTTCTTTACCAAAGTTATTAGAGGAAAAAATAACTTCTATGTTTTTGGGGATTACTATCATTTAGCAAGGAAATGATTTACAGAGAGGAATTCAAAGACTAAGACTATTTGGTTGCTTTTGAGTCCTAGAGATATGAATAGTGGAGACCTTCTAGGTATGGATGCTTGGGGATCCAGGTTTTTTTTAAAACACTTTCTTTAGTACTGTGGGAGGGGGAACGCAAAAAAAACTATCGGGTATAAGGTGATAAGTATTGCTGATAGTACGTTGCCAAGTTGATGGAATTGGTTAGAAATAACTCATGAAGTTTTGTGTGTGATCACAAAAATTACAGGGCAAGTGAGTTTAACTATATTAAGACCATCTGAATTATACATAAAAGATAGTGGGCTTGGAAGTCCCCACATAGGTCCTTGAAGATAGTATGTCAAATAGGTAAAATAGAGCATGTATCACCAAGAGTGTTACAATTAGAATTTGTTAGTTCTGTAAAATAACATTTCTGCACTCTGGTTACTGAGTTGCAAGAAAGATATAATTGGGTTGGAGAAGATCTGGGAAGGAATAACTTAAATGATTAAAGCAATGGAAGAATGGCCATGTGAAGAACAGACTAAAAGATTAGTAAATTTCAGCCTAAAAAGTATAGTGAACGAGAGGTAATATGATTAAGGACTGAAATTAAGACAGTAGTGAAAGAGGATTACAGATTTATCTCTAGACGATTACATAGTAAAACTAGGGCATCTACTTTTTGATATATGAAAGATAAATTTGGAACAAATAAAAAGTATTATATAGCAAGTATAAAGTGTTTACAACTCATTTCCCTAAGACATAATAGAGCTTAAATATGAATAACTTTAAAATATTTCATATTTGTAGATTATTAGGGGAATTTAGAATGTTTTGAGGTACAGAACATCGCAGGCCTTTGAAGTTGATATGATCTAAGTCAGACTGATCAACAAGCTGTACCTTACTGCTTCTGCTAAGACAAAATACTGGATCTAGATGAACAATAGGTTTTTGGGTGTGTTTTTTTTTTGTTTTTAATAGTATGACATGTTTTCTAATTGTGAAGAAAGCCTAATATATATATTCTTTATAGCCCTATTAGCCCTATACCTCTCCATTAGTGTTAAGAAGGGGTTTTTAAGTATATTTTGGACTGGAGTTCTTTTACAATATTAAAAAAGGAAGATATGTGTTTGTTGCATTCTTTCTTTCAGTCTTTGAAATAGATTCCCTCAGGACTACTTTTACTTGAAAGCCAAAGAATATTAGTAAGGCTATAAACTCATTGTCTTTTCTGTTTGTCCTCTTCTGCAGAAATATTTTGTTAATCCTCAGTTATTACCTTGGCAGTTCAGTAATAAGGAACTGGAATTGGTTTCATTTCCTTTTGCATTCCTTTTCCAGGAATGTGGAGCCTTCTTGATGTTTTAGACTAAAGGGATTGCATGCAGATGGTTAATTGAAAATGGTTCGTTCTTTTCAGTGTGCAGCTGTTTTTGGAAGGCAAGGGACTCTAGCACGACTCTGTTATAAATTTGATGGTTTTTAAATATTGAGCAATAAGGTTATTTGGAATGATAATAATACCTCCTTAGATTTTTGATGACTTTTTATAAAATAGCTGATAATTTTGAAAGTTTTTATTTTCAAATAGATAATAAAAGAACATGGTACAAAATGCAATAAGTACAGAGAGAAACGTACTGAAAACTATTTTCCTACCCTATCACCAGTTACTTCCTTCTTTTCTTAGACTGCCACTATTACCAGTTTTTTATATATTTTTCCAGAGATACTATAGGATTATGCAAGTGTGTGTGTGTGTGTGTGTGTGTGTGTGTGTGTGCGCGCGCGTGCGCGCGCTTTAAACACAAATGTACCATTATTATACACACTCTCCTGTAACTTTTCTCACTGAAAATAAGTCTTGGTGATTGGGCAGTAAATAATCTAATTCTTTTTAACAACTATATAATATTTTACCAAAACTGATTTAACCAGTCCCTGTTGGGTTGTTTTCAGTCTTTTGCTATTATAAATAATACTTTCAGTGAATTTCCTGTACATGTTTCACAAAAACACACATTCACAGGAGCCCAGTTATTTTCATATAATGATAATTTCCACCACCCTCTGTTATAAAAATCTACATGCAGTATTCACAGACATTCTAGTAGGGGGTCAATGTTTTATTCCTTTATTGTGATAAAAGTGAGATTCTATAATGATGCATCCAAGTATCATTTTCTAGTAGTCAACATATAAAATGAATTATAAGAATTTCTGTTTGTTTTTTACTCTCTCATCTTTGCATTGAAGATTTTGGTGCCTCTGATTTTGCTACAACAAATGCTTTTGGAGTTGACAAGACGTGGTCAAGAGCCTCTGAGTGCATTGCTGCAGTTTGGTGTGACATACCTGGAGGACTATGCTGCAGAGTATATCATTCAACAAGGTGGCTGGGTATGAGCTGTTGTGTGTTTTCTTATCTTTAAAAAAAGGTTAAGCTACTCATGGTGCTTGTTTTTATCAACATAGGTTTAATATCAATATTATCATTTAATATTATTTAATATTGATTGCGTGATGATAGCAAAGCAAGACTATTAATACAGTTTTGCTATTAATATTTTACTTAGAGTAATGTGATAGGTGGTGTTTTTAAATAGTTCTTTTAAGTAGTTCTAATTATGAAACATTTTGTACTAACAAAAAACATATAAATAATTAAGAGGAGTAATAAAGTGAACGCCTATGTATTTGCCAGCTCATTTGAAGAAAAGAACACAGCAAACATGTTTGGATCCTTTCATGCGCCCCTCCTAGATTCCAGCATGCTTCTACAAGGATAGCTTCTATTCTGAAATTTGTTTTTTTTATACCTTAGCCATGTATATATATATATAATGAGGATACGTATATATGAGGTATATATAACATATTATAAAATATATATAATATTATTAATTATGTATAGTATATATAATATATATATAATGAGGTATATATAATATATAATGTATACATGCATATATGTATATATATATATTATATATACCACACATACCTAGACAATATATTACTTTGTACATTTTTAACTTTATGTGAATAATACCACATTAAATGTATTTTTCTAAACTTGCTTTTTTTTCACGCAGTGTTACATTCTTGAGACTGTCCTAGGTCATTGTTTCTGAATTATTTTTTTCTTTCGCAGTCCCCTATGGATCCTTTTTTAGACATTTGTATCCTAATCATCTCCCTCCTTTCCCATGAAATTTTAATACCATAGATCTAAGTGTATTTATGTACTGTTGCCTTCTGGAGGGCCACAAGCGATTGTAATACCTAAGATTCCCCCATCTTGCCAAACCAGTTTTAACCCTCGAAATCATCCACACTGAGAATATATGATCTAGGTTAATGTGTTGGCTGGTGTTTGGTATTCCATTGTTTAAATATATCACATAATTTATTTATCTATTATCTTGTCAGTAGACATTTTCACCTTTTTGCTATGACAAATATTGCTGTTATGAACATTGTTATACATATGTATACGAGTTTCTCTGAGTATATACTTGGGAGTAGAATTTCTGGGTCTAAGAGTATAGACATGTTCAGTTTACATGATAATGCCAAAGTGTTTTCCAAAGTGGTTTTCCAACGTACACTCTGTCAGCAGTACATAAGAATTTTTTGTTGCTCTTCATCTTCTCTAATACTTAGTATTGTCAGACTTCTTAATTTTTAAAATCATTTGTAATCTTTTAAAATAAGATTATTTTGTAATAAGTTTAGATTCACAAAACTGTGTAAAGTGTTCCTGTATATCCTCCACCCAGTTTTCCCTAGTGTTGATATCTTACTCAGCTATGGTACCCTTATCAAATTGACTTTTCCATATTGATTTCATATCCAGCAAATTTGTTGAACTGTATGATTATCCTCATCATTTATCTCCAGGTTTCTTTGGGTCGGTCTTCTACTTTGAAAATCGTACTGTCTGTGAATGATGATAATTTTTTTCCTTGACAAGTCTCTTTTAAATTTATTTATTACACTTATTGCACTAATCAGAATCTCCAGTACAGTATTAATGAAATTGGTATTAAAACTCATCCTTGTCTTTTTCCTGATGTTAAAATGAGTGCTTTTAATTATTTTACCATTTAGTTGTATCAGTCTAAATGAGTGAGGTTGGCTTGTAATTTTCTTGTATGTCTTCGGTTAAAAAAATTTTTTAATGTTTATTTTTGAGAGAGAGAGAATATGTGCATGCATGTGCATGTGAGTGGGGGAAGAGCAGAGAGAGAGGGAGACAGAAGATCTGAGGCAGGCTCTGCACTGCACTGATAACAGCGAGCCCAGTGTGGGGCTCAAACCCAGGAACCGTGAGATCATGACTGTTAGGGTCAGGCTTCCGGCAGGGTAAAGACAGGAGTCAGAGGCTAAGAAATTTTAGTAGTCAAGGGCTTTATTGGGAACTAAGGTCTCGGGCGAGGTTCCATGACTCAGGGAGAGAGACAGAGAGACAGAGAGACAGAGAGAGAGAGAGAGAGAGAGAGAAGTCAGGGAAGTCATGCCGGATGTGGTGGGGTAGGGTTTTTAAGCTGCAGCGGTTCACAGTTTAGGTCCACGTGGGCCTTTTTCTGCGCCAGGTTGTGCTGTCGCTTGGTGATTGGTTGACCTCCAATTCGTTTTGGCGCACAGCTTTGGGCTTTCCGTTGGGTTGTGCTGGCGCTCGATGATTGGTTGACCTTCAGTTCGTTCTGGCGGGCCGCTTGGGGCTTTCCGTTGGGTTGCACTGGCGAGATGGCTGTCCCTTCCACTGTGGTTCCAGGGACATCCTAATAATAACTTGAGCCAAAACCAAGAGTCGGATGCTCAACTGAGTCACATAAGCGCCCCTAAGGATATGCTAGCTTCGTAAAATGTACAGAAGAGTGTTTCCTCTTTTTCTATACTCTGGAATAGTATATATGAGGTTTAATTTATTGTGCCTTATCATGCCTGCAAAATCACCTGGTGTTTTCTTTGGGGTAAGTTTTCTGGTTTTTCCTGTCAACTTTTGATAATTTTTCTGGATATTATCCCTAGATTTTCAGATTTATTGGCATAGAGCTGTTCATAATACCCTTTTTATTTATTTATTTATTTATTTATTTATTTATTTATTATTTTTGGAGGAGAATACAGTGGATTTTTATTTCTTAATTGTCTTATACCACTTACTTTTAAAAAACATTTTAGGGGCGCCTGGGTGGCGCAGTCGGTTAAGCATCCGACTTCAGCCAGGTCACGATCTCGCGGTCCGCGAGTTCGAGCCCCGCGTCGGGCTCTGGGCTGATGGCTCAGAGCCTGGAGCCTGTTTCCGATTCTGTGTCTTCCTCTCTCTCTCTGCCCCTCCCCCGTTCATGCTCTGTCTCTCTCTGTCCCAAAAATAAATAAATGTTGAAAAAAAAAATTTTTTTAAAAAAACAAAAACATTTTAGGGTGTCTTGGTGGCTCAGTCAGTTCAGCATCTGACTCGAGTTCA